GTTCCAATTCAACGAACCGACACGAGCTACGAGACGTCCGCTACTGTTCAGCACACCGTCTTGCAGATCTGACTTCAGACGAGGAAATTACCATACCATACCATACCCGTGAAATATATTAAATTACAAATTACAATTACTATGAATTTAAACTTTACACTACAGGTACATGCAGGAGTTGCCTGTAACGAACGTTACATTTAACCGCGCTCATGACTCAAGCGATCCCCACTACGAACTCGACCACATGGCCGGCTAGAGGGGAGACATCCGTTGTATAATTTCGTTACATAGCAACTCGCATGAAACAAACTTATCTTACCGTGCGTAAAGAAGTTTCACTTCAAAAACGTTTTTTAAGCAGCGAAATATATTTTGATGTCCTGATTCGGGTCTAATACAAGCCGGCGTTGATTAAAGTTGCCTCCTAACGTTTCGCTAGTAGTAGTCCACACCCAGCATCGGCGAAGGAAGCTCGCCACTCGTGTTAGCAGCTATATTCAACAACGGCTTTTAGACCCGAATCAGGACAGCATTATCTCATCTGCTCTAATTATTATACAATTAAATTGAAAAAGAGTTTTGCTCTTCAACTGAGAAAATTACAAAGTTTTAAGAAAACATATTTTGAAGAAAAAACGTTTTTGTTGTTTTAATAAAGATGGAAATTATGCAGTATATCCGGTCATATGGATTACTATATTTTTAGCAAAATCACTACGCTTATTCTCTGTAGAATTGCAATGAGTTGAACGTTCTTCCACAAGGGTGTTTAGTTTATGAGCAGCATTAAACGTTTGATTGTTCTCATAGTTGATGCTATTTTGGTGCGCATATTTTTAGGTAATTACATTAAACATTTATTTTAAATACTTTTTAAGGTAATTTTTATTGTATTTATTTTTGATATTATTCATTTATTTATTCATTAATTAAGTGGAAGAACGATATACGTAGTCTTTAATATAGAGATACCACTCATTTCTGATGTGTTTTATATTCTTCCGAACCTAACATCTAAATTAATATACACAGGAATAAGTATTCGACATTAGCCAACTCAAAAGTTAAAATTCTAAAATTGGTTTCTATTTCAGAAATGCTTCGAACGACTAACAAAATGAAAAGGAATGTCACAACCACATTGCCATAACGTAGGAAGTAGAATAACGAAGGCATGAAAAAGGCAGTAATAGTAATTAGAAGCAAAAGAATGGGTTATTTGAAGGCATTCAAAACATTTAATGTCCTTGGTGGCACCTTTTTTAGATTTTGCAAGGAAGATGACGCTGCTAGTAAGATATATTAAGCAAAACAGATCATTTGGAAAAGCAGCTAGTGAAGCATTGCCTGGCAATGGAGAAAATCTTCTACAGATTAATCAGAGGGGATGTCTATAACTTTGCATTTCAGTTAGCTAGGATAAATAACATCTCAAATTCCTTCTCATTACTTATTAAAACGACCGGAAAGGACTGCCTGAAACGATTTAGAAAGCAGGCGGAAACGTTATTTTCACGAGTTTTTGATATGTTAGAAACGGAAATTGAGGAAAAAGACTTTTCACCTAATCAAGTGTTTAACGTCGATGAATGTGGTCCTAGCATAGTTCAGTCAAATTGCTCCAAGGTATTTTCTCAGAGGAAGCGGCAAATAGAAGCGCTGACATCTGCAGAGCGTGGATCCTCTGGTTACTTGCGTCTTGTGTATGAGCGCAGGTGATAATTGTGTGCTCTCTTTACTTATACGCGCGAATGCGAGCGAATTGAAAAAAAGGGCGCTCCACCTGGAAATATTTTTGTTTTCTATTCATGTGAGTGGATTCAAACTGACATTTTTTCACAATGGTTCAACTATTTCATAGATTAGGTACGTAACACCAAATATTGAAAATCCTGTGCTTTTGAGTCGCGTAACTTTATGATGTTTATCGTCTCACACTACGCACAAGACGCAACCGCTCGACAAATCCGTAATGGGGGATTTAAAAACTTACTACAACCAAGAAATTCGCCATTTTTTAAGGCAAAATAATCATCAATATCGCATTTTTGCATCAGTGGCCTGCTTAGTTAAGCTTAATTGTTACTGAAACGGGTTCTTCTAGTGAAATCACACAAAAATATGAAAGTCAGATAAATCCTCTGCGTGACTAGGAAAATGGCCATGAATGGACAACCAGTTTTACCATAACACATAGTTCCTATTTCTGTTCTAAAAAAACGACAAAGCACAAGAAGCCGAAAATCGGAGGAGGTCGTTGTATCGAAAAATGAAAAAAATTATTTTAAAAAAGTTCAGGTTCGACGGAAAGAACAAGCCAACTGACCAGTAAAATAGATGAGGAAAAAGCGAGAAAGAAACTGGTAGAAGTCGACATGATTTAATGAAAGTATCCTACCCCTGGGTAACTCGACTGATGAGAAAGAATTCCTGAATATAGACAGTAACCCAAAGGATAATGCAGAATATCTAATCTGTTCAGAATGTTTTACATCTTAGAGAGAAATTTTTCCTCATTAATTTGAGGTAAATACTGGGTACTTAATAGAAGTTAATTCACATTAATGCAATACTAAAATTTTAATTACGCTATTTTGATAACCACCAAGACGTGGAAGTTATTGTTTGTAATTAGTAAGTGACTGCTAGATTATTTTTTTCATTACGGCATAAAGCATTCTCAATCCGTTAAGATATGTTTTACTAAAAGGGAAGACTAATAAAATACATCAAAGAAAATTCCGGTTTATGTATTATATCTGATCAGCATTTCGGAATATGCGAATGATAACATCTTAAGGCACTGTAGAGTGCATCTCAATGTACAAAAGTATCCCAGTTAATGAGAACGTCCGCCAGATTGGCGACCGCGTTATCTTACCACCCTTCGCTACTGCAAGCGGCAAGTGACGAAACAAACGCACCTACTCATGACCTTCGCAACAGCTGGTATACAGACAAACTAATCTGCGCATAATGACGATTCATTGTGTAGTCACCGTTCATTTAGCAAAATTACTGCTAATACCTACCGCACCAAGAGATTGAAGGCCAGTAAAGACCACAAGTCGGTTCGACGAAATCGTTATGCGATTAATAGAAGACAAACCACGTTTGAGTATCCGTATCATCGCACGACAAACGGGGATTCCGCATGATACGGTATGGAGAATTTTAAGGGAGAATTCCCTGCATACCTACCATTTTTGAAATACACACACCACACCCACTAGGATGCACTTCCGTTACTTTTACGAATTGTACCGGTACTGTCAGACCTTTTGCATTATCTTTTGGGTTATTGTCCATATTCGGGAATTCTTTCTCATCAGTCGTCTTCTACCAGTTTCTTTCTCGATTTTTCCCCATCTATTTTACTGGTCAGTTGGCTTTTTCTTTTCGACGAACTGATTTTTTTGAAATATTATTAACTCCTTCGATTTTCGGCTTTTTGTGCTTTGTCGTTTTTTAAGAACAGGAATAGGAACTACGTGTTGTGATAAAACTAGTTATCCATTTGTCCCTTCAAGTGAATCTTCGTAGTCACGCAGAAGGAAGAATGTTTATATTTTTGTGTGATTCCATTAGAAAGTCCCGTTTCAGTAACAAATAAGCGTAGCCAAGCAGGTCACCGATGAAAAAATGTGATAATAGACGATTATTTTGCCTTAAAAATTGTCGAATTTCTTCTAGGTTTTTAAATCCCCCATTACGGATTTGTCGAACAGTTCCGTCTTGTGCGTAGTGGGAGACGATAAACACAACAAAGTTAGGTGACTTAAAAGCACAGGGTTTCCAACACTTAATCGCTGTATGAAATAATCGGCAGTGTTTTCCTTCCTTGCGCGTGTTCTCGTACGAAACTCTGCCACAGCGTGGCGTGGCGTCACACAACCACAGTAGGCAGCTATGCAGTCCTGGTCATCATTGCCGTAGCAGTTGGAGCTTTCGGTAAGGTTATTATCCTAATGTGTATATACATAAATCAGTGGATGGTGCGAGTAGACAACATACTGTTCACTTACCTTTCTTTCTTTATTTTGATTTTTCAAAACTGTTTTGTATTATTATTAATAGTCGGATCATCTTATTATTATCTGTTAGACCTAAAGGTATCACTAATCTTTTCCTCATTGTCATATATTACATATATTACATGGAAATGTGCTTTTCCACACTGTATTTATTTGTGTATGTATGTGTAATAGATACAATGTGCATACATATACCCACAAACATACGTAAAACCACCTACATTCACTAATCGATTTTTTTAGGTTCTTAAAATAACAACAGATTGTTAGGTAAATATAATTATTGATCATCCCTAGTGCCAAATATATCACACACCGCAAATTACTTCCGAAATATTACCTCAAAAAAAGGAATTTTTGATTTAATAATAATTTATTGATATTAAAGAATTACCTACTCATTCGATAGGACAACTACGTGAAAATAAAGAATAATGTGTCTAATAATTTCTGTCGATTGTTTTCGGCTACCATGCAAAAAAAGCAAGACTGCAGAATACAGAACAATTGTTATTGTTGTTATTCTAAACAAATATGATTTTAAATTGAATTAAATTGACCACAAAATTTACTACAACTTTCTAATATTTTAGTAGAGAATATACAATACACTTACCTTTCTTTCTTCCTTATGATTCATGATAATTGTTTTGTTCACAAACGAATAAAGAAACAAAATTATTGCAATAAACAAGCAATTCCATTTTATAACGAAATTCGATTCATTTGTTTATTATCAAAAATATATAAAAATGTAACAATTAAAAGTAACGTTTTATTTAATTAAAAAAATAAAGAACGAAAGAAAAAAGCTTAATTCAAAAATGGTATTGAACAAATTATTCTTACGTAGCTAGCAGTAAAATTTGATTGAAAAACAAAAGGCATTATATGTTTTTCAAAATCAACAATCTTACAGACTAATGAGGAAACATTAAAAATTCATATTAAAAGGTGTTTTGATTTTTATAAAAACGTAATAATATTTCCAATTGCTTCTTCGCAATAGTTATGGAAAACATTTCGGGCGTCTCCTCGACACAAACGGGATGATAAAATGCTGCGGCCAACACTCGGTATATTTTAATTCGAAAATCGTTTATGCTCACGTTAGAGTTAATTAACAAAGACGGTCTCTCGTCCACCACTTCAGGCAATTGCAATTTCAAACACAAATCATCAGAAACTAACGAATCACATGAAGCTTTTTTACAAAAAAACATATGCAATATTAAATATATTTCTTCGTATAACATGTCCGTTTTAAGAATAATTTCCTTCTCATTTCCCTGAAATAAAAGCAAAACGTACAACAATCACAAATTTTTAATATACATATATATATATATATATATATATATGTTCCAGACAAAATATGTGGCTCTACAGGGTGTCTGTGAAAACAATCTGTTTGTTGTTTTATTTAGCAGCACTCTTTTGTAACAAACGAAAAAAATATATCAAATAAGTACCTTTAAAAAAACAACTAACGTAACGCAATTACTACAAACAGCGTAAAGAACGCCATCTGCAGAATATTGCTACATTTGTGGGATCGAAACCATTAGACAGACTATGACCACCATAGGGTGTTTCTTAAATAAATGGCAAACTTTGGAGGGTGTCAACTAGATGCAACAGACAAACACATGGTGACTAAAGCGGCGCAGTTAAGGGATACAAAAAATTTAAGAAAACCACAACAAATTACAAACCGAAGCCGGTCCTGGACGTGAATTGGCAACGAAGGTCTGAATCTCAGAAGCTGCAACGATAGAGAATGTAAACAATACCGCCTGTCGATCGATATTAACAAAATAACTACTGCACATAATGTATAGATGCCTATCACGGTATAAATGAATTAATTGTTGATAGTACTATTTCAATTACACCTCAGCATGTGTCTACATAAAAGAAATAGAAAAATGTATGTTTTTTATAAAAACAAATTTTCAAGTCATCCTTGAGGTATTACACACACACACACACACACCTCCGTACACTACAAAACTGTTCGAATTTTTAATCCCGTTCTAGTAGACAGGCATCGAGCCAAAAAGTTCGGCAATCACATCAAAACTATCATTATTTCGTGAAACAACATTTGTTTGTAAAAACAGCCTATGTACGAAAACAATTGTGCTCTGCAGTATTTTCCTGTCGAAAGCACTGACACAAATCCACTAGCAGCTACAAATCTGTTTCCTGTAAGACTTGTATTTTCTGTAAATGATGACGATGTAGGAATTGCTCCTTTAGCATTAGCCACATTATCACACGAGAGGAGACAACGTTACGTGTTATTTCGTGTCTACTACTTTGAGGTTGTCTTATATGAAAATCATGAATTTCATATTCTTATGGATATGGTTCGGGCGTCAACACTCACGACCTGCAAATGTAGGGTATACCTTGCGATTACTGTACAACTTCATCGTTGCATTAACCGTAACACACTGACCTACCATCGATTGACTAAACATAAATATCTTGAATCACTTTTAATCTAATCTAACAAATAATAAGCAATGCTTGAGCAAAAAAACACAAAAGAAATATAACACCGATGCTGCTAGTTATCGGCTGATTGAATACGGCGTTGCATCGTCGTATTTCTCTCCAGGGCCGGAATTATTTTTGCTTGTACTTTCATATTATCAACTACGTTTTACTCGAAAATGGTGAATTGGATAGATTTTTAAAACTATGATGAAAAATAACACTTGAAATTTTAGATCGGGATGATTGAAATGTTTTATTACAACCCACCCCGCAGTTTATGGTTCCTTATAGGGGCGCAACAGTGCACGTAGATCGTAAAATTGTTTATTAAAATCATAAAACGCGATAAATAAATGAATAAATTTTTGATAATAGAAATGGCAGTTTTCTCCTCGTGCGAAAACGAATAAATGAAGTTCCTTTATTTGTATTAGACTCAGATAATTCTACATAAAGGAGAATCGAAGCGACCTCCAATAATATTAAATGGGAAAATTGAATATAAAAACTGTGCTATGGAACTAGATACAGGAGGGACGATTAGTGTAATGAGTTTAAAAAATCTCAGGAGAATTTTAAATAAGAAAATTCAGCCTACTTCTATAGTTTTTTAAAGGTGATACATTAGTCCATTTAGGGTATGTAACTGTTAAAATTGAGTACAATAATTAAATAGTTAATCTAAATTTGTAAATTTGGACACTTTTTGATCGAAAAAGGCTGTGATGATATATATCGATTGGAATGCTATAAAGGTCTTAAGAACTTCCAGTAAGGTCAACCTAAATAATCTTTTACAGCAGTATTAGGAAATTTTCGACAATAAACTTGGAGGTATTAACAACTATGAGGTTAAGTTACCAAACATGTATTTTGCGGGTCTGAAATAGTTCCTTTTGCTCTAAAATATAGAGTAGAGAATCAAATTGATAGGTTGGAAAAAGAGGGTTTTATAGAAAAAGTTAAAAGCTCCGAGTGGGTCACACCTGTTGTACCGGTTTGTTTGTACCTTAACACCCCTTACAACGGGTAGGAGAAATATTGTCGCGCTTAAATGGGGGTAAGCAATTTTCGAAATTATATTTTAGCTATCTCAACTTGCAAATGAAAATTCAACCTGAAAGTCAAAAATTTTTAACTATAAACACACATAAAAGATTATTTGTCTGTAAAAGGCTAATTTATGGGTTGAATGGATCACCGGCAATATGGTAGAAGTAAAAATTTTTTTGGGACTAATAAATTTATATGGGAAATTCTGTCCAAATTTAGTGACACAACCAAATCCGCTAAATAATCTTACAAAAAAAGAAGTAACATTTATCTGGTAAAAGGAATATCAAGCAGTATTTGAACAAACCTCGGATTCTTATTCATTATGATCCAAAACTACCTTTAACAGTAGCTACAGATGCATCTCCAGTGGGAGGAGATGATGTTCTTTGTCATCTTTTGCCGGGTGGAACAAAGACCGATTGTATTCGCATCTAGAACTTAGAAGGGAACAGAACAAAAATACCCCCAAACTGATAAGGAGGCCTTAGCTATTGTGTGAGCAGTAAAGAAAATCTACTTGTATCTAAAAGGCGGGAGATTTATCTTGATCACTGATCATAAACCACTTGTTGCTATCTTTGGTTCAAAACGAGGACTGCCAGTACTAACTTCAACCAGAATGTTATACTGCGCCTTGATATAGAGAAAACTCGTTCGATTTTGATATAATATTCCGCAACACTAAAGAGCATGGTAATACAGACTTGCTTTCCCACTTACCTAGAGCGTCAGAAGAACTCCAGGTAAAAGATGACATTACCTTATTCCAATTCCCATTACGTCAAAGGAATTGCGTGTTGAAACAGGCAATGACAAAGAATTGGGACCTATTCTAAAAACCGGGCAAGATTTGCTATGTAGAGAAGCTCAATATACAGGGTTTGTCCGGAAAGTAATAGGACTTATTTCCTTCCGCCGCGACTGTACTTTGGAGCGTGCGCGCACCGACTGGATTCGGTAGAGGGTATTCCTAGGTAACGAACGAGCGGCTGGTGAGTTGTCTCCGAGCACCTGGAGAGTCAGAACAGGCTTTTTCGCGCGACATGTTTCTGTGAGTGGTGCAAGCCGAAAATGTAGCGTTCGTTAGAGCAGAGGTACGCGATTAAATTCTGTGTGAAACTCGGTAAATCTGCGACAGAGACGTTTGATATGATCAAGCAGGCTTACCCAGATGTTGCTTTAGCAAGAAGTGGTGTTTCGGTGGCACCAGGCCTTTTCAGAGGGCCGGGAAGAGGTCGCCGATGAAGACCGTGCTGGAAGACCTTCGATTCCGACAAACACCGACAATGTGACTCGTCTGCGCATAGTTTTGAACTTAGACTGTCGACTAAGTATTCGTTTAATTGCCCAGATATTAAATTTACCAAACTCTGTGGTTCATGACATTGTGACGGAACATTTGAACATGCGCAACGTGTGCGCGAAGATGGTCCCAAAAGTGCTCACTGACGACCAGAAATTGCGACGAGTGGAAGTGTGCCAAGAAAATTTAAACATGTGTGACAGTGACCCCCAATTTTTGAATAACGTAATCACAGGTGACGCCAAAAAACGGAAGAATGAGCAAATCGAAAGTGAAAACGACGGACATTTTCTTTTTTGACATGAAAGGCATCGTCCGCCATGAATTTGTTCCTCCTGGACAAACCAAGTTTTACGTGGAAGTGCTCAAGAGACTCTAACGAAGGGTCAATCGGATCCGACAAGACATCGCAGCCGACTGGAAGTTGCACCACGACAACGCCCCGGCTCACACCGCCTTTCTTGTGGACAACTACCTGACCTAGGCCGGCATCCCAACGCAGCCGCCCTACAGCCCAGATGTGCCCCCCCCCCTAGGACTTTTTTTTGTTTGCTCGCCTGAAAAGGCCGACGAAAGGCAAGCATTTTCAGACGACAGAGGGGATCTAAGCAGCATGCTCCGCGGTTCTTAAGGCTATTGGCAGCGCTGCATCGACGCAGAAGGAGCCTATTTTGAAAGTTTTTAAAGAATTGTAACGATTGGCTCAATAGATTTTTTTAAACCGACTCAGTACTTTTACTTTCCGGACAAACCCTGTATAATAGAAGATAAGTGCATTATGTGTGGGTAGTGCGCATCCCAAAGAAATTCCAAGAAAAAGTCTTGGAAGAGTTACACCTAGGACACCTGGGAATTGTCAAAATGAAGGCAATGGTGGGTCATTCGTGTATTGGAATAATATCGAAGAGATTGCAAGGAATTGCACCAACTGCAGACCCAATTTTAGAATACATGTTTTTGCTGATCGTCGACTTACATTCAAAACGGTTAGATGTTTACCCAATGAAATCAACAACCACAACCAAGACAATTGAATGTCTTAGAGACTGTTTCGCAAGATTCGGGCTGCCAAAGATACTTGTAAGTGATAATGGTCCGCAGTTTTCGTCTTATGAGTTTCAAAGAGCCATTTAAACCATCGGGCAATGGACGGGCCGAACGATTTGTCTACATTTTGAAACAATCATTAAAAGCAATGCAAAAAAAGTAAATACATTTTTGCCACAGTATATAGAAAAGCTCCAAATGTTACAATAAAGCACAGCCCAGCTATGTTGTTCTTAAAACGTGATATAAGAACGAAAATCGATCTTCTTGTATCTGAGTTTCAATCTAGAATCCAGAAAAATGTCAGAAAGGGGGTATTTGAATTTCAGGATAGAAAATTCAGTGACAGGGTTACTGTTAGAGACTATTGAGCAGCAA